TAATTTCTGCTTCAAATTATGGCATGCGTAAACATGGTCAACAATGGACAACACCAAGGCCTCTACGACTACTACGACGACAACACCATGGGTCCAAGAATCTCGTTCTCGAACGATTTTGCCGATTCCCAACAGCCCAGTACGAAGCTCGAAAACAGCTACAGGGAAGCCCCCGTTTCTTCAGATTTCGCGTTTTCCGTACCTAACTACAGCATGATCTCTGCTGACGAGGTTTTCTTCAAGGGCAAAATGGTCCCATCCAAAGATAATAACAATTGCGCGAAAACCACTACTCTTAGGGATGAGCTTCTCGGAGGTAGTGACGACGATTATGATGACGTGTCGTCCAGGTTGGTGGCGAAAGGTAGTTGCCGGTGGAGAGAGAGATTAGGGTTGAAGAGATCTTCGCATGTTGTCGTAGCTAAGAAATCCGATAAGAGTATTAGCGATGGATCTAACTTGAAAAGTATCGACGAAATGAAGATTTCCGAGAATGCTTATTGAGGATGATGTTCATGTCACCTTTAAAGGTATGTCTTTACTATCGAAAATAATTTTTTTTTTTTTTAATTAGATTTAAAGTTTTAGTGTTGATTTGATTTTTATTTTTGCAGGGACTTTTCTGCTAATGTCGAGAGAAATTAGTGCAGCAAGATTTGGATTAGTATAGAGATTTTGTTGATTTTGATCACTTGTTATTTTCCCTTAATTGTTTTTTTTTTTATTTTTTTTATTTTTGTACAAAGGTTTGGAGTTGGGCTTCTAATGATGATGTAATAATTTGCAAGTGTAATAGAATTCTTCTGATTAAGTGTTATTTGTTCGTTCCTTTGGAAATGAATCTTGCTATCCATGTTGGGGTTGGGGAAAGTTCATTTGTTTCAATTTGCACTTTACCCCCTAGACTAAATACTTTTTACGTGAACTCATTAAATTGTGGCACGATATCTTAAATTTACCAATTCCATTCAATACTCTGCCGAAATCACTTGCATGTGTGTGGCATGCGGGTTTTTTAAGGATAGAAACGTCATTTCATTCAAAATTATTACGCCACAGAATTGAACGGAATAGATAAATTTAAGGCACCGTGCCACTATTTAACGAGTTTAGGGGGTAACGTGCAAAATGCATGATAGTTTGGGGGGCAAAGTGCTATTAACCCTTTAATTTATCAGTTGGAATATGAGCGTATATAACTACAACAATTCAGCATTAAATATTGAATCAGAGCAAAACCAAATGTACCACAATCATAATTACATTTCAATCAGGGTTTAATTACAAGGCAGCTGGGATTGATTTCTTTCAAACACACATCAGATTAATCATACATTTACATATCTACAGAATCTGATTTCTGACAACAAAAAAAAAATGCCTTTAGTGGACTCCTATCTGTACATCATATATACATCTGTACACCTGTAAACAATATGTATATAAATATATCTATGTAAGTTAATAAATTCACCAAAAAAATGTGATTAAATGTAATTAAACATGCCATTCTGTACCAGAACAAATCTAAACGATACTTGCGCACAAAACGGATTGAAAATATGTTCGAAACCAGTCATGACATCAGCAGATTTAAGATGCTTGTAAAATCGAGAAGAGCTCGAAAGTCACAAAAGTGCACGAACGCTACCTAAAAATCTGCTTTCCTTTGTAGCTGTGGAGTTTTCGTCTTTGATACGACTGTGATCTTATTTTTGCCATTTTCAATAACTGCGACAACCGGAAAAAAAAATGAAATTCGATATCAACCATAACAGGTGAAGTAATGAAACTGTAAATCTATTTCTTTTGTGGCATACCTACTGCCTCGATTCCCGAGGTGGAGTTCTGCCTGAGTATTTTTCCATGGACTCTCTCTTATGCTCAGGGTCAAGACTGCAATTTTAAAATAAATAAGTAATTAAGTTGCTACGATACGGCTCCATGCATGGAAAATATTAAGCAAGAAATATCAATACATCACTCTACAAAAGAAGTATAAATGGAGGGATCGTATAGTACACCTGTTTCTGACCCCAAGAAGAGCACAATGCATTGCACCTGCAGCAGCAGTAGCAGGTGCTATAGCTGCTGCTGGAGTAGACCGGAAAACAGTTGCCATAGTGGACCCCACGCCAGCACCACGTTGGAATTTTTTGAAAGGGGTTTGTACCAAAGCAGAAGCTGATTTTCCCAGGCCATCACTAATGCTCTGGTAAGCCTGCCGACAGAAAATTAAGACAAATTGTAATTTTATTTATTACCCGTTTACAAATGGATTATATGATTCTTTTGAACTCTTCCGAACTGTGGAAAAACTACTATACTATAGCAATTGCTTCCAAGCTAACGGCATGAGTGTATTGCAGAAATTAATAATTTGAAAAATAAAGAAAGATAGCACCAAAGTGGACAACGAAGAATTCAAAATGAGTTGGGATTATTGACCTGTTGAAATCCCTGTTGAGCATCATTGGGTTGATTTGATCTCAAATTGGTAGCCATACTGCTCTCTACTGGCCACGGTACAGAAGGTGGAATACTGGCGAGGATATATTCTGCTTGAAGGAGGATGTTATGAGCTCCAGCAGCCAAATGTACTCCAAGCCCAATGGCTTCAAGCGAAATGCTTCTAAGAAATGTAAAAGTGCCTATAATAACAGTACATTTACACTGTTAAATTTATTCTTGAAAGAGCAAGTTTAACTGTTTAAGACACGGATGTCTATAAGTGTTGGTTAGGAATCGAACTTAGGTAGAATAAAAGTTATATCACTAAAATATAACTTGCACAGTAAAATATATGAGTTATATCGCTTGGAATAGTTTACCTCTTTGCATTCCTTTGAGTAATCTATGATCTTCTCTATAGCTTTTCATAGGCAGAGACACCAGCTTTGCAGCTCCAGAACCAACAGCAACCAGTGATTTAATTGGAGGAAGGCCTCTCAACAGCTTATGAATCTATTGGAAAAATGCAGTTTGTCAAGTCTCATGCATTCAGGAATCTGAGAATTCATAAGAGAGAAACCCAATCAGATTTAACCAAACCTGATTTTGAGAAATGTCTTCCAACCACTCCCCTAATATTGTTTCACAAACACTGCTCCAACCATAGAGACCAACTCCTTGCACATGTTTCAGTTGCAACTCCACACCCTGCATCCGAAGTCATTAGAGATGGATTTAAACAGTTAAACGATTTTTTGCTGTATGGGGGAACAAATAGCTCTCCTGCACATTAAATTTTTATTTTGAAAAAATCAGCACATCCAGTTTCTTCACCACTTTAGTTTGTCAATGAGTTCATATGGTCGATAATGATTCATATGATACACAGGAGGAAGCTCAATAAGAGTAAAAGTTACTCAAAAACCAGGTCAGTGCATCCTGCCTCCTTTATTAAGTTTATTTACCCAATCATAGATAGGTCTTGCATTGAGTTAGACAAAAGGTTTTGAAAATCAGATAAGCCAACATAGACCAGAAAATTACCTTCCAAGGAACAAGGTTAACAAGTTCAACATATTTGCCACCCCTTAGAGCAGTCAAGTCAACACGACAAGGACTGTAATCAACTCGAATCAGCATCGGCCATATATCAAATTTCTGTACAAAAGCAAAGAAAAAAGATCAGCGAAACATGGTTAAGTAGCCACACGATCGGTTAAGCTAAGGGTGACATCGTAACTCATATGCCAAAGTGCTACAGTGATATTGGAACTTCCAAGTAAAAAAATTCTCAAAGCAGCAGCAATATGAGTAGAACACAGATGATAAATTGTCGATGCTGATTAAGATAAAGCTGGCTATCTTCCACACGAAATATACACACTTAATCTAGTGGTTGTATAGTCAACTAATTAAACTTTAAACTAGGCCCATTCATAAAAATACGCTCAAAATTACCTGAAAGTAAGGAAGAAATGCCTCCTCGCTGATGCCAAGACCATGTTGATTGTCACTCTTCTGAAATGGCTCTCCGGATTTACTTAAACCCACATCAGTACTGGGGGAGGAATCAGCTGATGGATTTTTTCCTCCAAAGAAGCTGATGAGAAAGTCAAGTTGTCTCTGGTGAAGATGCAAACGGATAGGAAGTAAAGCGATACGTAACCTGGAAAGTGAAAAAAAAAATAAGAATCAGCACCAAATGTCCGTTGTACTATCATCAATATAGGTAGAGGTTCGGTACGAAATGGAGAGAATTTAGAGATTGACAAAATTTTAGACTTCTGATGACAATGATACGACAAGCTAAAAAAATATTAAATTAAATTAACATATGAAAAAAACAGAAGAAACTTCTCTCACAGACACAAAATGGTTAAAGAAGAAAAGGTAAAAGGAAAAGCATACCGATTTTCTTCTATACGAATTGAAGGGTCTGGTCTAAAAGCTTCTAAATTTAGCTTCACTGCTTTCGAAGAGGACTTTCTTGGATGCTTTCTCGATTCGTAATACCCAAGAACCTTACAGTCAAAGAAAAATTGAAGTTAGGGTACGGTGCTATAAAAATCAACAAGCAGACTGAAGTTCAGAAAGTTGAGCTATACCAGCTTCCATGGCGCATGATCACTTCTATCATTGAGGCAGAAATCCTGAATGGTGAGAGAAAGACTAGATGCAGATATTTCGCCATCAGGGTAAACATCGTAGTCAAACTCTATTCCAGATAATGCAAGCTCGAAACAATCAGTCGCATCCCTTGCAGAAGCCGTTACAGAAGCCTGAGAAGTATTCTGAGAGTTCGACCAGTCAGAACCGCCATACATTCTCCAAATGACACTCATATTCTTAAGAAGTATGCGACCTTCAGCCTTCCCACAATCAACATGTCCAGAATCACTTGTAGAAGCTTCTAACTCAACAGGTGTTAGCACAATAGCCTGCTCCACTTTTGAAGCATGATTCTCTAATATTTTTAATGGCGTATCTGCATACCATCCACCATTCCCTTTCCGAGTCTCACCGACAACGCCAGTCTTGCAACGAGGAGTATCAGATGACTGGCTTCCCACAGAAAGTTCTGAGAGAGGGCGTAGATCTGACAAGAAATATTCTTCTATAATATCGGGGATGCTCTCTTCTGATGATGAAGCCCCACTAGCTGCAAGAGAACTACCACTGACCGATGCACAAAGATGAGACTCAAAGATTTTACCTTGACCATCAGACTTCCCATCCAACTGAAAGACATCTTCACGTATTTCATCCATCCAATTGCCTACCTTAGATTTCTTATCTAGACCAGAAGACTTTGTCCGAGAAACCGAAGAGGGAAGCTCGCCACACACTGTCCTCTCGTCACAGATCTCGTGCACCTGCTGCACATTATTCCACCTATTCTCTAAGTGCACAACATAATCTTGCATATCAGGTGCAAACTGCTTTTGGAGTTGAGCAGCCAATTTAATAAATCCTAATGTTGTGTCATGGCACGTATTTAACATGATGTGTGACTCTGTACATTCTAATTCCCACGAATGTCCATTCTCACAGTTAGTCCTAAAAACTGCTTCCATAAGTGCCTCTTGTGCAACTTTCACATAACCAATCTTACTTAGATGTTCTGCACCGTAAGAATGGTCGGCTAATTGAGATTCCGACATCGGACATATAAGCAAACCTAGATCATGAAGCCTAATTTTGTATTCCTCTTCAGTGCAGTCAACCACAGTTTTACTTGAAATTTTCAAGGAAGAAGCAGCCAACAGACAAGCAACATAGGACTCATCATTAGATTCATTGCCATTCAAATGAGAAGATTTGAGATCTAGACCTTGATTCGCCATTGATTTTTCAATGTATGGCTCATAACTTAAGCCTACATCCACCAAATTAAGAATGAAAGAAGATCCACTCTTGTTGCCTGGACTATTATCACCTGATTGCTCGACTTCAGAAGATGGTAGACTGAAAAAGGAAAATATTGTTGTGAACCAATCCAGGCAACCCCCAATTGCAACAATAGTGGCACATCTGACAGTAATTGAAGTAAAACTACAATTGCTCTCTGGATCCAAGAAGTTTATGATGTCAGAACCCGAATGCCTAGAAGATAAGACGTTTGAACCTTCTCCATCACCACGACCAATTGTGGAGTCACTGCATGATATCAGCACAAACTTCCGATGCAGATCTTTAGTATTTGAACCCCATAAACTCCCCTGACGATGGGCCAACCACAGGAAACTGGCGCTCTTTATTCCACCAATATCAGATACGGAAAGTAACTCAAACTTCTCGATTTGTAGAGTTAGTCTAGACCAAGATCCAGGAAGTTCCGAGTGTATAGAGCATTTAACATCCCCTAATGGCTCAATAGCAATTGACACTGTTACAGAATCGCATTCTACTAGAAATGATTTTTGCAATGTGGACTGTTCTTCCCTGGTTCTGACTGGTTTAGAAATGACGCATGAGAAATGCTCAAACGTCTGCTTTAGGAGGCCACATAGGTTCTCATACTGCATTTTGTGCAGATTTATTCTGACAGGTGGTAATTGCACATGCAAGAAAAATGCAGAGCTTGATAATATCTCTTGTCGAGTACGACTCTTGAAGTCTTTGCTGTCTTTAATAGTTGTTACTGAGGCAAACTCACAACCTTTTCTAACAACATTATCTTCACTCCTTCCATTCTCTGAAGACGCCAAAAGCTTGGCTTTCCTTGCAATCGAAGGGCCAGCAGCCTGACCTTCCTGCCAATACATAGAAACAAGAGACAGATGACCACTTTTATTCACAGCAGATATAATCTTCTCAACAGAAAAGCTAGCCCCCTTCCTGTTGTCGGTTTCACTTCCTACAGTCATCTCTGTAATGGCTGAGCTAATGGAAAAGAGATAAAAGTCACCGAAGTTCAAACTGAAGGAGCATGATACAGTGTGTCTCTTATTGGAACCAGCAACAGGTGTCGGCTTAGCAGATCGAATCGCTTTTCCCCCAATTGTTTGGGAAACAAAATCTAAAGCGATAAACTGGTCGCAAGAAGAGTAGCTTCTAAGATCTTTATGTTCCTTTTGAGGGAAACACAGTATTATCCTAGCATTTGGCAGGAAAATGCTACTCTCCAGGATTCTTTTGGTTGACGCATTGGTGGATGGTGTATCTGACATTTTTCCTTGATCGCTCCGAGTTGAAAAGTCATATTCTTTTGATTCTGAATGCGGTACAGTACCAGCCCCCGTTTCAATACAATTTTCCAAATCTTCTAGAAATCGAAGTGTCATCATAATTAGATCAAAGTTTATCCAGCAAACAAAAGGGGGTAGCTCTAAGGAAAAAGATGTTGATGCCATTAGTGAGCCAACACAAGAACCCGACTTTACCCTGACATGGCACTGACTGACACCTGAGGTCCTGAGCAAAGTTACACTGGCATCTTTGCCACAAATATCTTTTCCGTTTGTCATGTGACAACATCCATTGATATCCTGCGTGCTCAGAGATATATCAATAGAATAATCACCTCGGTGGTTAATTCCAGTTTCTTTGTTGGAATCTTGAAAAGTCAGAAGAGCACCTTGCACACCATCTTGCAATTTCTGAATCAAGGCAATCTCACTTTCAGAATTGTCACGACACCCGTGCACTTCGTAATCTACCAAGTCTTTTTTGGAACGTAAGTGATCAACTAGTTGAATATGTTGTACAATCACTTCAACACTCATTTCTTGAGGACGTACCTGTGGACCTTGCAATATTGTTATGTTAATGGTATGAAATATTACATAAATCAAGTAAAATTGAATTAGAATTACTAACTAAAGACAGCATCACCATGTTCTTATCCAAGAAACAACAAGAGAATTCCAGGTATATTTACCTGCAGTGTAAGGTACAAGTCAATAAACTGTGCACACACACTATGAATAGGGAAATCAGTATTGCCCTTGTCATCCTTCATTTTCGGAAGGTGTTTCTGGTCTTCTTCGTCCATGAAGGACAAAAGGAGAGATACTTTTGCTATGGATGCATTAAAGTTTGTTTCAACATGCTGCTGCTGTTCTGCAACCAGATGAAGAGAAAGTAATCTTAGTTTCAGAGATAATAAAAAAAATGAATGAATGGTTATAAGCAGTAAAGCACATACCAGAAGGGACATGTAAAGATCCAGAGGCAAGATTGGATGCTGCAGTTATTGCACTAAACACAGAGCAAGTCCAATTCCACATGCCACTATTCCCCAAAGCTGACTGCGAATTTCTTAGTCCATCAAAGCACTCAAAAAATTGGTCCACGCTGCCAAGCAATCATTGATCGAACAACAGGAAGTACTTTAGAACAATTTCAAGCAAGCCAATTTAGATTAAAAAACTTAGCAGAATTTTTTCACTATCCACAAAAAACAGAAGGGAATGATGTGCTTTTGAGCAATCAGAACTATCTGCTAACAAAGGGGTAAAAGAATTATGGACCAAGAAGTAAGATTGATCAATGAATTGCATCGTTCCAACAGGTAAACATGATTGCAACTATAAGATGGGATTGAAGTAAGTGGTTACTATTTAAATACCAACTGATTAAATTAGCTATGATCATATATATACAAAAATAAACTTATGGACATTATACTGTTCTAAGAAGAAAAAAAACAGCAATTATAAATACCAACCTCTCCCCAAAATCTGGTTCTTCTTCATATTTCTCTTTCTGGCTCTTACTAACCCAATCAGATATAAGATGCGATTCTGATAGCAAAATATGTCCAGGTTCTTTCTCCATGAAGTAGCTATTAGTAAAGCCTTCATTACCAAATATCCCCTTGTCAGGATTACGCATGAAAGAGCTTGTACCTGACAAACTACCTGATGGTTCATGATCACCGGGTTCCTTGGTCTCATCGCCTATATCTTTATATAGATCCCACATGAAGATTAGGCATCTGATGGTGCTAGGTTGAAGTCTTAGTTCAAGAGGCTCAATATAAAGATCTGCCTCCACTTTGCGGATGTCTAGTGAACCATTTTTCCAAGGTAAACTTAACTTAAGACTCCCCGAAAAGCCTCCCTTTTCTCCAGAAATTATGGTAGTCATATTACCAGATGAACAGTATCCTGAAAACCAGTTGCCAGTAGCTGTTTCAGGGGAAAATTCAGGTGGTAATTGATGTTCAAGACCATCCACATTAACTAATTCAAGTACTGCTCCGTGAAATTTTACAAAGTTTGTCAATCGACTTAAACCGAGAAAATTATGAGGGGCAGTGCAATTGCCAGGAGAAGCATCTTCAGAAATATGTGTTCCACATTCTACTTCACCAATCCGAAGAACCAAAATTCTGTCCAACCCATTTTTACTTCCTTTTTCCAGAAGCGGATCAAATGCCACTATTAGTTTCTTAACCTTCACATGAAAGCTAGTCAGTAACCACTTCACCATTTTGGCAACGGTTTTTACTCCTTCATGAACATCAACAGAAGCACTTGCCACCCCACTGTTGAGAGCCTCGTTGTCTAGCTTTCTGGAAAAATGGCTGGAAACACTGTTTTCATTTTTACTCTGACGGCAATCTTCAAATTCATCTACAGAAACTTTCCCTCTTCTAGGAGCAAGAATGAGCTCAAGTTCATCCACCTCAATTCGACAACCACCATCCTTCCAGGGCATAGTTACCATTAACGATCCAACAGATCCCTCTTTCACCAAAACTGCTGCATTTCCTAGCTGAAAAAATAATTGAATTAACAAAAAGCAGTAATAACTATTCGAATTACTAGCACTCCCCCTTCCCCGACCAACCTTCACCTCCAAAACAGGAATACATAATAAACTATTAAAAAAAATTGAACTATTAATTCCAAATTAATGGCATGGCCCTGAATTCACTTGTTCAAACAATAGAAGAATCACCAGACTCAAAACCGGTCTTCGTTAAATTTACCAGCTAAGTAACCAATTCAAGAATTAACCATATTCCACTCCACTAACTAGACAACATACCAAAAAAAAAAAGAAGCCTTACAGAAACACTTGCAGAAACAGAAAAAAAAAAAAAAAAAAAACAAATTTGGTATATAATTGGAAAAAAATAGGGGGAAATAAAAAAGCATCAATCAACTAAGCCTCACCTTCTCGTTTATGTAATCAACATTAAGCGCAAGATCAGAGAGCTGAATTGTGCCTGCACCAAGCTGAACATCGAGCTGATTAAGATCAATATCTCCCAGTATAAACTTCCCCAATTTCTTCTTCAGCAGAAATTTACAAACACGCTTTACAGCCCACCGCGAGAACATCGCCTCAGCGGATTTCGAGAAACTCCAGGAAAACATTATTCCTTATGTATATATAACCTATACACACACACACACACACACACACACACAAAATATTTGAATTTTATTTTTTTGGTACTCTTTTTCCACCAATTTTAGGGTTTCCGAAATCGGTTTTGATGGAGGCACAAACCTCCATCCAATCGAAACTCAGTAGATTGAAATACAAAAGGAGATTGATAATGATTGTATCTCTCTCTCTCTCTCTCCTTTTGTATATGTGTTTTTGTAAAAGAGGGGTTTATTAGATTGGGGAGATGTTCATGTTTAGAAGACTTCTGTTTGTTTTGGGAGAGTCGTGTTTGGATAGGCAATCAATCGTGTTCTGTTCCGTGATTAATGATTAGGAATTGAGATCATTCTTTTGTTGGATTATAATTTATTAATTGGGATTGTGATATGATTGAAATCAGGAGGGATTAATTAATATTTGGAGTATTGAATTTTTTTATTATTATTGTTGACAAGGTTTTTTTGGCGCTAAATGTACTTCGTGCTAGTTGGTTTGCACCTTGGATTTGGGAGAATAGAATACTTTTTTGGTGGTTGATTAATTATGGTTCAACTTGCTTAAGGGACATGGGGCCCACCTTTATGAGATGACTCGTAGTAGCATAGATACGGAAATGGTGATATGGGAAACTGGAGAAACGGACACGTGAAAACGGCATGTCTCAAGAATGAAAATACAGAAACTTGTGGAAATGTGTAAATACTAAAAGTGTAAGGAGTATATTTATAAATATGTTATATAAAATCTTTTTATGTATATATAAATTAATTTAATCTGTTTCCATACAAGTATATTGAAAATAAATGTTAAATCAACTATCAATTTGCAATTAATTATTAAACCATGTAAATGATTAAGGAAGTAATAAAACATTTGAAAAATCGCTATCGTACGTATTTTTATCTTTTCAAAATTTGCAAAATGACACACAAAGTGTCCGACAGGTGTTCTCGAGTGTCGGACATGAAACATGTTTGAAACATAGATACGTTAAGAATTTGAAGTTAATGTGGTACATAGCTCGTACCCGTTATTGTAAATTCGAATAAAAAATTCATTAAAGGAAAAACATAATTGTGTTAAATGAAAAAACTAATTGCATCCAACCAAAATGAACACTTATTACTGTAATGGGCCGATGATGTTAGCCCAATTGTACATCACAATTTATCATTGCAACATAATTTATTTTAACTGAAATGATTTACGCGGCAGCAAAATTACGAATGTCGTTCACAATAGTCTTTTCTTTCTCTCTCTAAAAATCCTCAATTCCACCCAAACCCCAAAATCCCCAAAAGCCCCAAAATTCACAAAAACCCTCAACCTCTCTCACAAATCCTCCAAAATCAGAAAATTTCTTCAATTTGAAAGGTAATTAATCATCTAAAATAGTTATATATATTGAATTTGTGGTTAATCATGTGAAAATCCCCTGAAAATCGCGATTTATGGCTATTTTTAGTGTTGGATTTTCGAATTTTCCACGCCCAAAATGGGTGTGGGAAAGCAGTTTCCACGCCTGATTTAGGCGTGGAAACAGCTTTCTCACGCCCATTTTGGGCGTGGAAAATTAATTCGGGCGTCCGGTCTAGACGTTGGTTCTGGACCGGTCGTCCGGTTCAATTTTTTTTTTTGCCCAGTATAATTGAAGTGAATAATTATATTTAAATAAGTATAAATTTATAAACATGCTGTAGTTTAGTTGGTTAGGCCTTTTGTCTAACAAACAATAGGCCCGTGTTCGAGTCCTTGATGCAACGCGTATTTATTAATTTTTTGCCAGTATAATGAAATAAATAAGAATTTGTAATCAAAACGGCAGTAGCCTACTTGGTTACGCAAGCAGGCGTTTACATTGCAACAACCCGGGTTCGATTCCTTGTTGCATCACAAATTTTTTTTTTTTTAAATTAAAACACAGTCAGCACTCGCACCCAAACCGGGCGCGGAAAGCTGTGTCGCGCGCCCAAACCGGGCGCGGGAAGTACTTTTCCGCGCCCAAACCGGGCGTGAATCGAGATTTTTTGCGCCCAGTTTGGGCGTGAAACGTATTTTTCGGCGTCCAAATTGGTCGTGAGTCTCGTTTTCGCGATTTAAAGAACAAAAACGAACAAATTTTACCTCATTGGATTCCGTATCTCGATCCTCATTCGATGCACTCATTTTTTTTTGCAAATGGCTACAATAACATGAGTTTTGGAATGATTTCTAATATAAAAGCTAAAATTGTAGAGAGAGAAAGAAAGATAGAGAGTGGATTTTTTAAAACGACATTCGTAATTTTGCTACCGCGAATATCACCTCCCTTTATTTTAATTAAGAATATACCTACCTATACTTATACTGACATTTATATTTATATTTTTTATTTGGAGAAAGAGAGGAATTTTAATTTTGAAGAGAAATATAGGGAATTATAAAAAAGTTTTTTTTTTTTGAAGTTTAACAAAAAAATTGAAATTCGTCATTTGCTAATGGGCCACACGATATTCGACGAAAATAGCGATTTTCCCCAGTAAATCCAATTCTACTTATAATAACGAGTGTTCGAGGCACATTTTCGCACAGTTTTTACCAACAATATGTTGCATTTTGCAACCCAAAAAAAAAATACAGAGTCACGTTCGATTTCTTCACATGTTAAATTCGCTGCCATCAAGTATAAGCAACATGAATAAGAACTTCACATACAAGGGCAAAATAATATTACAACGATTTAAGTTTATATACACCAGCGGACGAACGAATCAAGTGCTACATCGTACATACAAAGTATCTTACAAGACAAAAAAATTGAAATTACAAGACGAACAGTTTCTTTTCCGTTTATATCAAATTAAATTTTACACAATAAAAGATGACGACGAAAAAAATAAACACTAGGGAAGCAAAAGCGCTCCTCTTTCTAGCACTGCGCTTTTCACGGTTTTCAACAGCCAGCTGGACCTGCAAAGCCTTAATCCGCGTCAACAACAAACCATCACCTGTATCCTCCTCATCAGTCATACCTTTAAATAAGTCCCACATGAAGACGAAGCATCTAACGGCACTAGGTGAAAGACTTAGTTCGTGAGGCTCAATGTAAGCATCTGCCTCCAATTTCCCAATGTCTAGTGAATCAATTTTCCGAGGTAAGATTAACTTAAAATTCCCCAAAACACCCCCTCCGTTTTGTCCGGAAACTATCCTAGTCATGTTACCGGTCGTTGCTCCAGGTGAAAATGCAGGTCGTAATTGATGATTAAGACCATCCACGTTAAGTACTTGAAGCACTACTCCCTCGTAGTTTACGACGGTGGAAATGCTAGAATCAGAAATACGTGCTTCGCATTTTGCTTCACTAATCTGGAAAACCGAAATTCTGCCCGTCGATGCTGTGTTACCTTTTTCTTCTTCAAGAAGTGGATCAAATGCAACTGTTAGATTCCTAACTTTCACGTCATAGCTAGACCCTATCCTCTGCACCATTGTGTCAATGGTTTTATCAACTCCATCGCCGACATCAGCATCAAGTTTGTCTGGTGAAAGAATCTTCACCCTTCGAGGAGCAAGGACGAGATCGATTCCATCCACCTCGATTCGACAATTACCACGGTCCTTCCAAGGGAAAGTTATCTTTATTGATTGAATAGATCCTTCTTTCAATAAAATTGACGTTTTTCCTAGCTGAAAAAAAGTAATTGAATTATTAGTAAAAAAAAAAGAAGGCAGTAGAATTAATTTCGGATTATTAGTACTTTGATCCCCATCCCCATCCTCATCAAGCTTCACCTCCAAAGCAGGAATATATAAATTGGGGTAAATTACGAACATCCTTTGGGATAAGACTAAATTACGAAATAACCTCTTTTGTTTGCGAGATTGCATTTACCCCATTTGATATAATAGTCCATCAAAGTTGTTTTCAGAGTCGATAAAAAATGTGTAAATTGTCTATAAGACCACAAGGACCAACTTATTAATGAATTTGTGCAACTAAAAGGCCAGACAAGGATCTGTCTTACCTAAAAGTCCATCAATAACTAAAATGTACTCGAACTCTATTGTTACTCCAATTCCGTCTATCAAACCTTAATTTAAATAATATAATAAAATAAGTCAACGCTGTTCACCGGCGGTGAATGGCGATCGACGGTGGTCAACGGCCATGAATTGGGCGTGTTTAAAGGATTAAGAGTAATTTTGTCATAAAATACTTAGTTAGTAACTTGTGCGAATATAGTTATGAACTCTAATGGACTTCTCTGTAAACCTTAAAAATGGTTAAATTGGTTGTCGTGGGGGTTTTAAATCAAAAATATTCCTTGAAAATCCATTTTATCCCAACAAAATTTAATCGTCTATAAGTCACGAGCTATGATCTCTCAACAAAAACAGGCATCATATAATCTCACACAAACACTTACAGAAACAAAGAAAAACTGATCTAACGATCAAACAATTAAGAAGGGAGAAACAAAAAAGTAGGCCTTATTTATTACCTTATCGTTTATGCAATCAACATTTAGATGAAGATTGGAGAGCGTAATCATGCCATCAAAAAACTGGAAATCAAGTTGTTTACGGTCAATATCTCCCAGTATAAACTTACTCAGTGCATCCTTCAGCCAATATCTACCAACAGCATTTACAGTCCCTTCTACAGTATGTTCTATAGTCCGTTTCATAGCCCACCTCGTCAACACCGACCGCACCAACACCAACCCTACCAACATGATCATTATTTGGAAGTAAAAAGGAAAAACAAATTAAAAGTTATAGTAGAAAGAAAATATGTGAATGAAGGAAACCTCTTACAACATTCATGCATTCATATACAGTATAGATATACATATATATAGTTGGGATGCATCTAGCTTGTTTTGTGCTCATTGACTATGATTTCAATATTGTGCTTATTGAGTACTTTTATTATTATTATTATTATTATTAATTTTACTAGCAACTCCATTGACTTATTAATAATAATAAGACCAAGACCGTGTCTGTTTTATATTTATTTAGTTTAGTTAAAAAACGACACTTTTTAAAAAAAAATAAAAACAAACTGTTCATTCTCAGCTCCAACATGATCTTGTTTATCATTTATAGAAAATTTGCACCGTCAAGACCATTCTTAATTCACATTACATAGAATGATCATTTGCATTACTTTATTTTTTTCGTTGTATTTAAATAATAGAACTTACTTGTTCATGCTTAATTATCCCATATTGTCTTCCAATCGGGTCAGTTACCTGAATCCGATCGAGGCAGCTCTGAGTTTCTTTAATTTCACAAAATCTGGAAGATGTTTGATCTCCCCAATGAATGGCATCTTTATTGTATTCAGCCATGCCGAAACAAGACAAATATCCTCTTCGGCCTTTTTTATTTACTCGAAACTTCTATCTTTTTCATTTGTGTTCTCAATATGTATAGATGAGTTGATAGTAGAGCTTTCTTCATACACCGGTGAACTGCCATTAAGGAGATTAGTGAAACTCCCGTAATAAGTTGAATCCATCTACAAAAAAAACAGTACGAGATGATTATAAAAAAAAAAAAACAATGAAACCAAACCTTCAAGTGCTTCATATTAATTATGACAACAAAGGTTCAACCTTTCAACCTTTCTAACATTTCAACAATATATGTTACATATTCAATCCAGATACAATGCAAAATACTATTACAACGATCACGACACTTGCGAACGAAGGTGCGTAATACAAATACTCACGCCACGGAATAACTTAGAAAACAGTAAATTTCAAATTACACTAGTAACATTTTTTATTTATTTTTTCTGTTGATGTCAAATTCCATACAAATTCACATACTAGAATGATTATGAACAAAACAAACAATAGGGAAACAACAACATTGCTCATCTTTCTAGCACGAAGTTTTTCACCCATTTCAACATCCAACAGGACTTGCAGCGCGTTAAACTTTTCCAATAAACCAGTACTCGTGCCCCTGGGCATATCATTAAATAGGGCCCCCATGAAGATGAAGCATCTGATGGTGCTAGGTTGAAGCCTTAGTTCATGAGGCTCAACGTAAAAATCCACCTCCACTTTGCCAATGTCCAGCGAACCATTTTTCCAAGGTAAACTTAGCCTAAAATTCCCCAAAATACCCCCTCCGTTTTTTCCCGAAATTATCCTAGTCATGTTACCAGTAGTTCTTTCAGGTCGTAATTGATGATCAAGAACATCCACATTAAGTACTTCAAGCACTACTTCCTCGTATTTTACAACTGTGGAAATGCAAGAAGAAGCGTTATTGGAAATACGTGTTTCGCATTCAACTTCACTACTCTGGAAAACCAAAATTCTGCCCAATGCTTTTTTGCCTTGTTCTTCTTCCAGAAGTGGATCAAATGCCACTTTTAGTTTCTTAACTTTCACATCATAGCTAATCCCTATCCACTTCACCATTCTGCCAATAGTGTTGTTGAATCCATCATCGACATCAAAATCAACATCAAGTTCGTCTGGAGAAATAATCATTACCCTTCGAGGAGCAAGAACAAGCTCGAGTCCATCCACCTCAATTCGACAACTACCAGCATTCCTCCACGACAAGATTACTCTTAACAATCCAACAGATCCCTCTTTCAATAAAACTGTTGTTCCTAGCTGAAAAGGTACAGTTAAACCTCTATAAATTAATACAGGACTAACAAGATTCTATTAATTTAGCGAAATATTGAATTATCGAACTAATAATTTAGTACATTTTTACCGAGTCGGAACCAGAAAAAAATATTTTTACCGAGCAGGTTATTAATTTATCGAGGTTCTACTGTAATTGAATTAGTAAATAGCAGTATAAATTACAAAAAACCTTTCAGGTAAGACCAAATTACAAAATAACCTTTCTTGTTTGCATGATTAAATTTACGCTTCCTTGAATTAATAGTCCGTCAAATAATTTAACGGACTAAAAAAATGTCTATATTGCCGATTGTTCAATTTATTTTTCTATGGAAATCGTGACAGATCTAAATTGCACCTACAAAAACACCAAATACTGTAATTACAAAATTTATGTTATGCACTTATGTTATTATTTCTAGAGAAAATAAACAGATTTTGTCCGCAGAAATCCAATTTCTCCCAAAAAAAAATTCAGCTAAATACCTATTTTACCAACTAAATACATAACTCAGGCTTAACCATATTCCACTCTATCGACTAGGCATCATATAACCTTACAGAAGACTTATAGAAACATAAAGAAACTGGTCTACGAAGAAACAAGTAAGATCTCAAAATAAAAAAAAAAATCTCACTTTACAGCGTTAAATTAAAAAAAAAAAGGTGGGCCTTACCTTCTCGTTTATGTAATCAACATTTAGTTTAAGATCGGAGAGCAGAATTGTGACAGCACAGAGCTGAACATCAAATTCAATCTTGTTAAAATCAAAAAATTTCCTCAATATCTTCTTCAACAGAAATTTATGAAAACCTACTATAGTCAGAGTTGTAGCCAACAACAGTATTATAGCCCACAAGTACAACATCAACATATTATTTGAAAATAAAAAAGTTATAATAGAAAGAAAATATGAATGAAGGAAAACCTCTTATCGTATTCATACTTGCATATATAGTATAGATATAGATATAGATATATGGATGTCGATATGCATCTAGGCAGTTTTGTGCTCGTTGACTCTGATTTCAATACTGTGCTTATTGAGCAATTGCATCATGGTCAAGTTATGAAAAAATGTCGACTTTTACACATATTTAATTTAATACTGCAAACATCTTGTGTACGTTGATGTTTTTTGACAAAATTTCACGCGTTTTGATCAAAAGCAAGCTCCAATAGCTGTTTATAATTTAACACACTTGATTAATTAAATGGTGAAATCAAATGCTGTGCCGAAAAGTATAAAAAAAAAAATTAAAAAATAAATAAAAATCAATGAGAATACCTGTACAGATTCCAATATCCAAGCCTGAAGCCCCAATTTTCCTGAAAATAGAACCAACAACAGATAAATTATTTTTTTCTGCAAAACCTGAAAAGTAGATTGAGTCGAACAAACAAACATAAAATAAGGAAATGGACGAACCTCCATTTTATTGAATCACGCCACCACCTCTGTCGCCGTCGCGCCGCCGCCGTATGGTAGTGGAGTAAAAGCTTTCTGCCTTCTTCTCCGTTCATCTCGAGCAGCAAACAAAATCGTTGTGTGAAACGGCGGCGAAGTAGTTTATGGTGGTGGTGGTGGTGGTGGAGTTTAGGGCGGTGATTGGGAAGAGATGAGGGGTGGGCCCGCGGTTGGAATTCGTTATTTACTAATGGGCCACACGAAAATAAAGCCATATATCTTTAGCCCAATTAAAATCTCTTATTTAAATTCTATTATTATATAGAATTCACACATAAAATCTCATATTTAATAGAATTAAATCACAGGGAGAAATGTGCTACTAAATTAATTAAGTAATAGCATTTGTTAACGAACTTTAATTTTTGTAGCGATTTTGAATTAGTACAAATCTTATAAACCCAACATTGTTATTAGCCTATACTATTTAGCCGGTAGAAGCTTATATTAGTAATCGAACTAGCAGGATAAAACATTATGTTAATTTGTATATATAACTAATTTTTAAATCAAAATATCCAAACTTAAAAACAAATAAAATAAAATATTACCCGCGGCGCGATTTTCAAGAAGGGTAAGGCTAACCGACGCATGAGTTGGAACACCAAATTGGAAATCCCCTGTACACTTTCCATATATATATGTAGATGGGTTGATGTGTATTTACATTCGAGAGTACTATTACGTAATTATCTATGCATCGGAGTCAACACTGAAAACGACAATAATCAAACCCTCCCCGTCGAACACCGCATATGGAGCTTAAGCCCGGCCTCTCCGCTCTCGTCACCGGCGGCGCCTCCGGCATCGGCCGAGCACTGGCGTTGGCCCTAGCGCAGAAAGGATTTTTCGTCACTATCGTCGATTTTTCTGAAGAAAGGGGGAAACAAGTTGCGTCGCTAGCTGAAAAGGAACTCTCCAAGTTTCACGGCGGACTTGGATTTCCGCCCGTTCGATTTATCAAATGCGACGTTACTGAATCTAGTAAGTGTGATTGATTGATTGATTGATTGATTGATTGATGTTCGTATTTTCGCACTTGATTTGTTTTAATGGAATTAATGTGTTTGGTTTTATGTTCAGATGAACTTGCTGCGGCTTTTAAGAAGCATGTTGAGACTTACGGAGGATTGGATGTCTGTATTAACTGTGCGGGGATTGCTACTCCGATTCCGTTTTACAAGGATCAGACTGATGGCTCTAAATCCTGGAGACGCGCTGTTGATATCAATTTCGTTGCGGTTATTGATTCCACTCGCCTCGCGGTAATGAATTCGAATATTGGTTGTTTTATTTCGTCCAAATTTTCAGAACTGTGAAATTGAAATTGCGGGTAATGAATGTGGTTGATTTTCAGATTTTCTGCTGTGGTTCAATGTACTAATTTTTGGTTTGGTGCACAGATTCGAGCAATGCAAGTAGCTAAAAAGCCTGGTGTGATTATTAATGTCGGCTCTGCTGCCGGGTTGTATCCAATGATTGCTGATCCTATTTACTCTGGCTCCAAAGGTTTGTTGCTCTTTGTATTTGTGTATACTCAGATTTATATTTCTTTGTAATTTTATATGTATAAAGATATTTGATATGCTTATTTTTCATGTAAGTTTTTTCTAGTGTCTATATTACTTCTCTCCATCTCTATCCTCATTTTTACAGGGGGAGTAGTTCTATTTACCAGAGCAATGTCTATTTACAAGCGTCAAGGAATCCGTGTTAATGTACTTTGCCCTGAGGTCAGCTACATTTTTTTTTAGTATTCTTCCTCACGAAAACATATCACCAACTTTGGACGCTTAATAAATTCTTGCTTATCAGCTTATGTATTACTGGATTGAAACTGTTTACCCACCTTGTTTTGCATTTTTCAAGTTGAAATTAATATTCAATAAAGAAAAATTAATCAATGTATACACCCTTGGGCTTATGAAAATTGCTGGAAATCCATTTGTAAAAAACACACTTGAACTGTTCTTGCTCTAACCAGACAGTCACTTAGATCTAAACCTTGTGAAGGATCATGTCATCTCGTTTCCAGTATCTGGAACCGCAAGACTTTTTTATCCACTATTCCTGCTAGAAAAGAACCAGATACATATAGGTAAATTATGTAGCTGACGAAGAACAAAAAGTACAGAGTAGTCGAAGTCAAAAGACATGCCAGATACTGCTTCAAATTCTTCAAATTTTGATGTTACTGCTCACACAGAGCTTCTAGAGCAAAATGAACTTTGGGCATGACTTAAGGACTCCAGGTGTAACATTATATGGTCTTTCTTTGAGAGGTTTTGATCTTTTCCAGAACTCGTATTACTTGCATAAGATGGCTTATAGAATGGGTGAACTTTGATGTGGTGGTTGCTTCCTTTTCCCATTCTATTCTTCAAGAAACAGGACATACTGGGTAATTTGAAATATAATATACTGATATTCAGCTCATCCTACCGAGAAGTTATATAACTGATAACTGTTTTCTAAGACTGTACATTATATAGCTTCCAACTACTTCTGCAGTTTGTTGAAACCGACTTGGCCTCCAAGATGGACTCTAAGTTTATTGATATGATGGGCGGCTTCATGCCCATGGAAATGGTTGTGAAAGGTAAATATTGTTCCAACTAATATTTTGTCTTTCTTATCTTGGATTGACTTCATTTTCCTTATGTCATCTTAAATTTATATTATTGAGGAATGAGCTTGCAATTAACTCTCTTCTTTCTTCTCTCATCTTTACAATCATGATCAGATTGTACCTCAACTAGAACTGTTTGTCCTATTTGGAGTAACTTTAGCATGAAAAAAAAGGAACAATGTTAAGTGCCTGATTACACTTCTTCTGTTTGCCTCTATCTACTTAAAGGTTTACTGCTGCTCCATATAACGCTAATGCATGATTTCTGAAACCACCTAGAATTAGTTATAATATTAGTTCATGGTTTGTTTAAAGGGAAAGGAGGAGATCAGAATATATAATACTATTTTACCAACTCTGTGCTTACTTTCAAATTATGATACTTAAATGTTGCTTAAGACGTATTGGTTTCTTTGAAATCTTCCTTTTTTATATGATTTTGCCAGCAATTATGATTGTTTACTTCAGATGGCTAGCTTAGACAAAATTGTGTTGATTGCGTGGTTTCATCCCTCATCATGTGAGTGAGAGTTTTCATTGGGAATGCAGATAACTTTCTAGGATTATTTTCTCATTATCCTCAACACTCTTATAGATGTGGCCAACATTAACTCAGTCCTGAGCAGTGGGTCATTACAGAACAAACATGTGATTTAGAATAGTCTACATTTTGTCAGCTTGTTGGAAGAATTTTATGCTCTTCGTTTAATAAGTCGCGTTGTATGTTGACATTTTCATTCCTAACTGTGTAGGTGCCTTTGAACTTATTAGCAATGAAAGTAAAGCTGGGTCTTGCTTGTGGATATCTAACAGAAGAGGAATGGAGTATTGGCCAACTTCTTTAGAAGAAGAAAAATATCGTGTATTCCCCAAGACTTCGATAAGAAAATCTGCAGATGTCATCCCAGTGAATATTCAGATCCCCTCAAGTTTTGAGAAAATGTAAGTGAATATACATTAGTATGGCCTCATGAAAGGCTCGAATTAACACTCTGTTTTCTCGGAATTATACTCACTCTGTAAATCATTAACAGTTATGTAATTGCTGTGCAAATCATCTTTACCGATCTTGAATTTTTAGGAATTGTGAATTAAGTAAACAAACTATGAAAACCTTAGTATTGAATTATGTAGCCAATGTGAGTATAATTGCTGCCACATTTTCTCCTCAGTCGTTTTGAATCATCCAAATAGAAATTTCATCAAGAACAATAATAAATATTTCTAACTGTAATGAACTTTTCGATTGTAGAGAGGAGTAGTTTATGACTCTATAAACATTATTAAATGGAATGAACTGTTCGATTTTTTGCTTAGATTTTGCTTCAGAAAGTTTTTCCTCGACCAAAACTCTGTTTTCTTGGACATGACCCCTGATTTTCTGTATTAGTTTGTTATCAGAACCTGCACCTGGTTTTTGCTTGTTATTTCTATTCCAGGTTTCGGAGGTGAATCTGCATTCATACTTCATATTTATTAGTTTCCAGTTCGCCTGCTTTTCTTTCCAGGCTATTTATATGAACTTTTTATCCTGACATTTGTTTTTTTTTTTATGTTGTCATCTAGTGTTGTCCACACTCTAAGTCACAACTTCCGTAATGCGACAAGTGTAGTACAGGCGTCACTGAGATTGCCACTTAAACCAGATTATGTTCTTTTGAAAATCATATATGCTGGCGTTAATGCTAGTGATGTAAGTTCGTTGCACTTATCACTATCATTATAGTTATTCTATTTGATCTTGGTTTTGATTGGATTATGTAACAGTTGTAGAATACATTCATCTTTCGTACCACTTATTCTTTTACGAGCATCTTCAAATTTAGTCACATATCTTGATTATCTTATTTATTTGATTAAAAGTAAATTTTGGTTGTGTTCAGGACTATACATTTCTTTTAAGCTTGACATCTTTATTAATGAACTTCATTTCTTAACAGGTTAATTTTAGCTCTGGAAGGTACTTTAGTGGTGGCAGCAAAGACACTGCTTCTCTCCTTCCATTTGATGCTGGCTTCGAGGTAAGGAAAAATGCCAAGTTTCTTATTATATTGATAGATAATTGCCGAAACTCAAGGGAGAACAACTAAGCTTTAAGTCAGATCTTTCAGTTGTCCTGCTTTACTTTTCTTTCAAATTGTCGGATGATACTAGGGTGGTCTCCATACCTCCATATTTGCATAATTGCATTACTTGTGTGCATGTTATTTTGTGAAGTCAATTAGCAATTGCAAAAGAAAAGTTGTTCTGTAAAAAAGTAAGTCCCATAATTGCATTACTTGTGTGCGTGATCTCTTTCTGTAGGCTGTGGGTATAATTGCTGCTGTAGGTGATTCAGTTAAACGCTTAAAAGTTGGCACTCCAGCTGCAATCATGACATTTGGAAGTTATGCTGAATTCACAATGGTAAAACTTTGTCTGGCTTTGAAACTTGAAAATCTTTACCTTTGCCTTTTCTATTAGAATATTTTCGTTTGTTTCAGTTACACTTACAAGCATATGCTTCTGTGAATTTTAGGTACCCTCAAAACACATCCTTCCAGTGGCGAGACCAGATCCAGAAGTCGTTGCTATGCTCACTTCTGGTCTAACAGCATCTATTGCTTTAGAGAAGGTATTTCTTGACTGCTGGTTGAGATACATTTTTTCTCAGTTTTTTGCTTTTTCTTTTCGATATCCAACTTAAAACATTGTCTTGAAAGCGGATCTGGTAGTAGATCAATTCTTTTTATTTACAGGATTCCTTATTCAAATGCATTTAACTTGTTGAATGATTTGTTAATGCCGTCTTCCATATATTAATATCGCAGGCAGCACAAATGGACTCGGGGAAAACAGTCCTTGTCACTGCCGCTGCAGGCGGAACAGGACAATTTGCTGTCCAGGTATACTAATGAAGATGCAAGATATATCAAGTCTTCCTAGTTGTAGTCTGTGCTTTTTTTGGTTATTTTTTTGTATATCCAATCGAAGCTTCCATACCTAGCCTCTCTATCATGTTGTAGCATTTGTATCAATTTACTCTGTTAATTTAAAAAACAATGAACTGCTTTAGCGCAGCTGGCAAAATTTGCTGGAAATAAGGTTATTGCAACCTGTGGAGGAAAAGACAAAGCCAAGCTTTTGAAAGATTTAGGAGTGGATCGTGTTATCGACTATAAAACCGAAAATATCAAAACTGTAAGTCTCTTGATCTTTTTTTCCCTGATAAATTTTATAATGCATAAAAGTAGCTAAGTGATGGGAGAGTGTGTCGGCATAATCTTAATAGACTCTGGACCTAAATTTAATCCCGATTTTCTCTGGACTCCGAAGCAGAAATATGAGACGGAAGTGTTGAATCGTAACGTTTATTTCTTCTGTTCCCAGGTTCTAAAGAATGAGTTTCCTAAAGGTGTTGATATTGTATACGAGTCCGTTGGTGGTGAAATGTTCAATCTATGTCTGAACGCTTTGGCAAACTATGGACGCCTTGTTGTGATTGGAATGATTTCTCAGGTTTGGGATTTCGATTCAAACACATTAAAATATTAAATGCCTTTTGCCATCCAACATGTGTTTGTTGTACACGGATCATAAGATTAATTCACCGACAGATCAGAGCAAGAAATCTCTCTCTTACTCTTGAAGTCGTTGCATTGACATAAATATATTTGTAGTATCAAGGAGAAGAAGGGTGGAAGCCACAGAATTATACCGGATTATGTGAAAAGATTCTCGCCAAAAGCCAGACTGTGGTGAGTTATATCTGCATATTGGTTGACTTTGGTAGTTTTCTGAATTCAATCCGGGAATTGTTTTGGCTTTTGTTCGAATAAAGTGGTATTTTCATTCAATTTTTCTCTTAACGGTGATTCCAAATTGTGTTCAGGCTGGCTTTTTCTTAGTACAATATGCTAACCTTTGGCAAGAACATCTAGATAAGCTAGTAGATCTACAATCCTCGGGGAAGCTCAAGGTAAAAATATAAGCTTCACACGTTTTAATGCCAATAATTTCTCGGTTTTATCGTGACTGAATCTTCTTCGTTTATATGTTTGACAGGTTTCTCTAGACCCGAAACAGTTCTTGGGCGTTCGTTCTGTTGCCGATGCAGTTGACCATCTTCATTCTGGTCAAAGTGTTGGCAAGGTAAGTTTCATATCCTTGAAAACAGTTTAGTTTTTTTGTTCCATTTTCAAGAAAAAGGTAAAAATAATTAGTTTGTTGCAGGTTGTTGTTTGCATTGATCCAAGTTTCAGCCCTCGTCCGGCTAAATTGTGAAGGTCATATTAATTAATTGGCAAGTATTTAATTAGCTATTTTCTCATGCAAATAAAATGAATAAAATAATGTGGCTTGATTTCACACACGCACGCAGCACGTGTAATAAAGAGAAACAATAACCATAAGAATATACTCCTATATTATATACTATTTTCTCGTGTATTATTTTTTTAATCTTTACAAAAAAAAATTAAAATATCAATATTTTAATAATTACCGAACTTAATATTTTAAATTCGGAGCATTTAGAATTGAATTTTTGGCGTACTGAATTTTACATACAATTTCATAAAATGAACACTGCCTCTAATATATCTAATTTAATTAAATATTCTACTATGATTGAATCTACAAGCACATAAGCATGAACTATTGAGCTTCTTCTGGCCAACATAAGCAAAGCTTTTTCGCCTCGTGTCTAAAAAATGTGGCCAGAGTACAAAATACTTACGCTCGACTTAACGATACGCTAAATTCATCAGTCGCTACTTTCACCCGAATCATTTACCCTTATGATATAAACCTGTACATATATAACAGCGCAATAAGAAATCACATTTCATCGAATATAAAATGGAGCAGACGTGATTCGCGCAGAGACAATTAATTACCTTGAAGGTTGTTCGATCGGTTAATTGAAAAACGAGGGCATCACCATCGACGAGTTCATGATCAATGGCAAAACCTCTCCATCCACCACTGAGGCCTCTTTTCAGAGCAAGGTACTTGGTCGGAAACACTTCCCCTTCTTCATCAACTAAATCCATCATTTCATCGCTTTTCGGAAGGTGTTTATTGCAGAAATGAACCGGGAGACCCTATTGAAAAATCAACACAACTTTTTTACACCGTTCCGAATTCAGCCATGTTAAAAATCGATATAATTGTGTTTGACCAACATTAACGTACCAGCCAAAATCCACCGGTGACGTGTGATTGAAGCATAGGCTTCACAAAGACTGGCATATTGTCTTTATCCAGACGCGATTCGAGTTCCTCTGCCCGTTCGATGGCGTACGCTCTATCTTCATCCGACGCGTAAACTCTGTTCGACAAATCCCTTCTTCGACCACTGCTGTAGCTTTAAAACAGATCCAACACCAAAAGAGTTGGAAATTATTATTACTATTAAAAAGGAACTAAGAAATGTAGTGAAATGAAACAACATATTTACCTCCTTGCCCTCCCCATTGGCACAACACTCAGATTCTAATAAGAAACAAGAAAAACATAACTCAGAACAACTTAAGCAAAATTGTCTGACTTGTAATATTATCAAATATCGATGAGGCACCCCATTGTAATATCAAAATTTCTAGTGATACGTATACCACAAAGACACACGCACAAACACGTATATGCAATTATACAAGTAGAAACAGAGAGAGATGGGGTCATCACCAGAATATTCCAGACTATTGATGGTGTATATACACACATTACATATATATATATATGTATACACACACACACACACAGAAACAGAGAGAGAGAGAGAGAGAGAGAGAGAGAGAGAGAGAGAGAGAGAGAGAGACTTCTTTGTAGGTGCGAGGAGGCAAATCTGCAACACGGTTAGATCTACGAACAGCAGAGAGGTCCAATGGCTGCTTCGGAACCCTCGGCTTCACCTTCTTCATCTGTAGAGACCCCCACATAAATAATAATAAAATCCTATTTTAAAATCTATGAGTGTATAAAAAAAAAAAAAAAAAAAAAAAAAAAAAAAAAAAATCGATTTTGAAATTGGAGCGTACCGGTGAAGATTCGCGGACTTACTTGACGCGCGGGCTACACGCATGAGCTGACCTGCCTCTGAAGCAAACTGGTGCCCCCCCTTTTTTT